CGCCTGAAAGATAGTCCTTTACCTTGATACGGCTGATGTGGCCACCTGGATCCCCGCTACAGTAGCATTGAGACTGGACTACTGTAATGCACTGTACATGGGTCTTCCTTTGAAATCAGTTCGGAAACTCTAGTTGGTGCAGAACGCCACAGCTTGGCTGTTATCGGGAGCTAGACGGAACACGCACATTACCGCCATTCTACGGTCACTCCACTGACTGCCCATCAGTTATGGGGATCAATTTAAGGTACAACCAATAAGAACGTAAGAGAAGCCAATGTTGGATCAGGCCAATGGCCCATCCAGTCCAACACTCTGTCACACAGTGGCCAAAAATACCAGGTGCCATCAGGAGGTCCAGCAGTGGGGCCAGGACACAAGAAGCCCTCCCACTGTTGCCCTCCCACCATGCACCAAGAATACAGAGCATCACTTGCCCCAGACTGAGAGCTCCTATCTAAACCTTGTGGCTAACAAACATATGGCGCACAGGTACATCAGTGGCTATCTAATTCCCTCTTGAAGCCGTCCATGCTTGTAGCCGCTACTACCTCCTGTACCAGTGAATTCCATGTGTTAATCACTCTTTGGGTGAAGAAGGACTTCCTTTGATCCGTTCTAACCCGACTGCTCAGCAATTTCATTGAGTGCCCACGAGTTCTTGTATTGTGAGAAAGGGGGGAAAGTACCTCTTTCTCTACCTGCTCTTTCCCATGCATAATCTTGTAAACCTCGCTCATGTCACCTCTCAGCCATCGTTTCTCCAAGCTAAAGAGCCCCAGTCACATACAAGGCCCTTCGTGGTTTTGGACCCTCAGATCCGCAAGACCACCTCTCCCTGCATGCCCTGCCATGATAGCTTCGCTCATCTGAGCACCTTCTGCAGGCAACAAGCTGCAAATGGGTGTACACATGTTAAAACATACTATGATTAAAAGAAAGAGTCTAAATTTCAGACTTTTAAAAGCTTTTCAAATACAAATACAGATGTTGTTTCCTTATATAAGGACTTGATCATTACGTTTGATGGAGGTGACACACATCTAGACCAATGAAATCTCTGATACCAGAATAATTTGAAGAATTGGCATGGCTATATTTATGGCCCAACATATAAGCTAGTAGCATAACGAAAAACATATAAGGAAACAACATCAGATACCTTTTACACGTGCATTTTGGATGTGTGTCAGTGTAATATAGGAGCTGCAGTGGCTCAAGTGGTTAAGACGTTGAACTGCAGGCTGTGAAAGGTCAGTAGTTCAGCAGTTCAAGACCCGGATTGCCGCATGACGGAGTGAGCTCCCGTCTCTAGTTCCAGCTCCTGCCAACCTAGCAGTTCGAAAGCAAGAAATTGCAAGTAGATAAATAGGGACCACTTCGGTGGGAAGGTAACAGTGTTCCGTGCACCTTGGTGTTTAGTCATGCCGGCCACATGTCCATGGAAACGTCTTCGGACAGTGCTGGCTCTTCGGCTTTGAAACGGAGATGAGCACCGCAACCCTAGAGTCGGATTCGACTGGCTTTCTAGCAAGGGAACCTTTACCTTTACAGTGTAATATAAATAGTGACCACTGAGGAGAGCCCCAAGGGGCCGAAACACGTTTGGTCCTAAGTTAAAAAGTGTTTACCTGTCAAGTGTATTTGTATTTGAAAAGCTTTTAAAAGTCTGAAATTTAGACTCTTTCTTTTAATCATATTATGCTTTAACATGTGTACACCTTAATAAGCATTTGTGTTTTTAATATTATATAGTGTTAGCTCGACCCTCTTGGTTCGCCGATATATCTTGGGTTGAGCCCCCCAGTTAAAATCAACAACTGCCCATAGACGTGTCTTCTCCGTCATGCCCCCGTCTTGTGGAACGGCCTGCCTGAAAAGGTCAGAAAGACTCTGATTCTCCTGCCTTTACACAAACTATGTAAAGCTGAATTGTCCAACAGGGTTTTTTCTACGGAGTCGCACTGTACTAAATGATTCACAGTCACTTGGATAAATTATTAAGGACTGTGGTCTATACTGCTGTTTTACTTGATGGAACTAGGATCCTACCATGTAATTTTTGCATAATTTAATGTGTCACCTTAACACTCATGGTTTGCTTCGGTTCTGTTTTTAGACTGCTGATTGGTTTTGCAGCCCTGATCCTGTCACACAGTTTGTCCCATCCTGTCAATTATATTGACTCACTTGGTGTAATCTGCCTTCAGCCCCAGTGAGAAAGGCAGACTAAAAATTTACCTCATCTGTGCCTAACATCTGATGAATGACACAGCACACTAAAAGGCAGGTTACTGAAATCGTCTCTGGCCTCTCTGTGTTATTTAAATTTGCCTTGTGACAGGACAGAGTGGTGTGGGTCAATGCTCCCTCTAAGCTGTGGAGTCTTGTGAGCAAAAATTCTACTTTGTGAGCTACTGGCATTAAGGTTGTGAGTGAGAGATTTGTCTGCTGCATACATTAGTTAGTTCCAGAGTCATCCTTTCTGAGCTAAGACAAAAATGTGTGAGCCAGAGGCTAAAAAACTGTGAGGTAGCTCAGACTAACTCAGCTTAGAGGGAACACTGGTGTGGGTGTTAGTCTGCAGACGTTATGCAGAAACTCACAGACATTCTACAAAACAAAATTTGAGTCCAGTTAACACCTCTGAGACCAACAAAATTTTATTCCGGGTATAAGCTTTTGTGCGCGTCCACACTTCTTTCAGGTACCTTCTTCAGATACTTGAAGTATAATAATAATAATCTTTCAATTTATTGATCGCTCAATCCTGCAGAGCTTGCTGGCTCTGAGCGATTTACAGTTACTCATTTTTCACGAGGGACTAACAATGCAATGTGGGGTAAGGGAGGACAACATATATACATCTTAAATTGCACACATTCACAGCCGACGAGGGTTTCGTTCAGACGCAGATGAGACGTGATCCGGAACGGTATCTGAAGATGCGTGAAGATGTGTGTGTGCGCATGGAGGTTTATACCCAGAATACAATTTTTGTTGGTCTTAAAAGTGCCACTGGACTCAAATTTTGTTCCGTTGCTTCAGACCAACAAGGCCACCCACCTGAATCATGACACAAAACAGAGGACAATGGCATTATATTGTGCCCTTTTCTCACCAAAATAGAAAAGGCCTCAAGGTACTGCTGATACACACCCCTATAGAGAAAATGCCACTCAGCAAGATCTGAAGCTTCCCTCCAGCAGTTTTTCTGCCAGAGGAACAGCTACTTAAGTTGGAGAACATTTTCATAGGCTGGAAGGGTTCAAACTTTGTAGAAGGGAGTAGTAGGATAGGGCTCTTTAGCTTGGAGAAACGACGACTGAGGGGTGACATGATCGAGGTTTATAAGATTATGCATGGGATACAGCAGGTAGAGAAAGAGGTACTTTTCTCCCTTTCTCACAATACAAGAACTCGTGGGCACTCCATGAAACTGCTGAGCAGTCGGGTTAGAACGGATAAAAGGAAGTCCTTCTTCACCCAAAGAGTGATAAACACATGGAATTCACTGCCACAGGAAGTGGTGGCGGCTACAAGCATGGACGGCTTCAAAAGGGAATTAGATAAGCATATGGAGCAGAGGTCCATCAGTGGCTATTAGCCACAAGGTATAGATAGGGGCTCTGGGGCAAGTGATGCTCTGTCTTCTTGGTGCTTGGGGGGTGGAGTCAACAGTGGGAGGGCTTCTAATGTCCTGGCCCCACTGCTGGACCTCCTGATGGCACTGGTATTTCTGGCCACTGTGTGACACAGAGTGTTGGACTGGATGGGCCTTTGGCCTGATCCAACATTGGCATCACTTATGTTCTTATGATACAGGCTAAGACTTACAATATGACGGAGCCTATTGTACAAGACTGTAAGAATTGACTGTGACCTCGCTGTGTTCAGTTTTGGGCTCCACATTTTAGGAAGGATGTTAATAAGCTGGAAGGAGTCCAGCGTAGGGCTACAAAGCTGGTAAAGAGTCTGGAGATCATGTCCTATGAGGAGAGGCTGAAGGAGTTGGGAATCACCAGTTTGGTGCAGTGGTGAAGCGCTGTGGATTCTAATCTGGAGAACTGGGTTTGATTCCCCACTCCTCCACTTGCAGCCAGCTGGGTGACCTTGGGTCAGTCACAGTTCTCTCAGAGCTGAACTCTCAAGAGCAGATCTCTCAGAGCTCTCTCAGCCCCACCTACCTCACAGGGTGTCTGTTGTGGGGAGAGGAAGGGAAAGGAGATTGTAAGCTGCTCTGAGACTCTGAGTGAAGGGCAGGGTATAAATCCAATCTCTTCTTCATCTCTACATTGGAGAAGAGACGCTTATGAGGGGATATGATTGCCATGTTCTGATACCTAAGGAGATACCATGTGGAAGATGGGGGTGGATATGTTTTTCAGTAAAGTTTAAAGGGACGGCATAAGCCTTCCCGACAAACAGCTGCTTTCAGATCTACCCGAAATTCAATACGTCCAGGATTTTCTTGGAATTTGTTTTCAGTTTTCAAAAGAAAACCAGGATACATTTGGAAAGCCGAAACAGACCCGAAAAATACCGAAAAAGTAGATCCGAATACACACCCCTTGCTCTGAACCAGAAACGAGTTAAAACGTTACCCAATGAAGCTCAGCCAAATGAATTACCATAACTTCCAATATGTACAAAAACCCTTAAAAAATGTAAGATAGAAGAAATTATTTCAAATGTATTTTATAATACTAGAGTATTTGCTTTCCCTCTGCATTAGGGTTGCCATGTCCCTTCTGGCAACTGTTGGTGTGGGAACCTACCAGGAGAAAAAGGAAGGCCCAGGCAACGCCACCAGTGTCGCACAGGAAGTGATGTCATCATGTCAGTAACTTCCAGGTGCTGCTCTAGTATTTGGGCAAAACTCTACAGTAAAACTGGCCTCTACCATAATTTTTGCCCAAATACCAAAGTGTTGCCCGGAAGTCGCTGGTGTGATGACATCACTTCCTGTGCGATGCTGGAGTGTGGCCTGGGCCTTCCTCTTTCTACTGGGAATTCTCCCCGCTGGCCAGCTGATGGGCAGCTGAGGGGCAGGGCCCGGCAGCAGGGGACCCCTACCTCCACGGGAGGGGGGTGGTGTCTGGCAACCCTACTCTACATTCAGGTAGAACATTTACTGATTTACTTAGAAGTCCCTCTCCACTGCAGTCCATAGGGTTTACTCCTTAGGAAGAACCTTTACAGCTGAAGTCAGTTCTTCCGCCAAGGTAATTGGAGCTCTTCTCCATCAACAAGCTGTATTTAAATAAACTGCACTTAATGAAAAGGCAAGTCCGTTCCTTGAGGTATATTCCCAAGCTTGTAAAAATCTTCTTTAAATAACCATTTAATGATTTTTATACATAAAGTAGTAAGCGGGGAGAAAAGTCACTATGTTCAGTTATCCAGGCGTAGTTTTCAGCCTTCTGTTCGTTGGGAGCTTAGATAGTTCAACAGCAAGAGGGGCTGGCTTCTAGAGAGCCAAACTGGTGAATGACACAAAAGACGGGTCTTCCCCTCCGGTTGCGTTCGCGGTTACTTTATCAGCCTTTTCCTCTTTTTCAGGAGTGCGTCACGCAAAGCCAGCTGCAAAACCAGAAAAATATGTGTTACGATGCAGAACGGGGACACTTGAGGGCGACTTCTGAAAAGATCTGCATTGCACAGTACTGAAAATTTCCTACGTCCACTCTGCACCGAGAGCAGAGAAATCCCTCGTCTTACGATCAGAATCAGGGAAGTTGTGCGTTACTTAGCTTTCTTCTAAAACTGAGGTTTCCAGTGTTTACCTCCCTCAAAGCAAAGCTGCCTGACCTGGCTGGCGCAGGCTGGCCTCATCTTATCAGATCTCAGAAGCTAAGCAGGGTCAGCTCTTTTTAGTGCTTGGATGACAAACCGCCACGGAGGCCCGGGGGTTGCTATGCAGAGACAGGCGACGGCAAAACATCTCTGAACATCTCTTGCCTTTAAAACCCTGCAGGGTCACCATAAATCGGTTGTGTGTTTTCTTTACAAGAGGTTATTGTTTCCCTGATGCTGCATTAATGTGTTGTGGTTCTGGTCCTTTAATATATTTGGCATTTTGATTACTGCTCGGATGATATTTGTAGCATTTACAAGCTGCCTTACCCTGACCTGGCCCGATCGTGTCAGATCTCATAAAACCTAAGCAGGGTCGGCCCAGGTGAGTATTCAGACGGAAGCCCAGGGTCACAACACAGAGGCAGGCAATAGCAAACCATCTCGGAGCGTCTCTTGCCGAGAAAACCCTACGGGGGCTGCCATAAGTCGGTGTCAGAACCCACGGCTTACAACGAAGTACACACATTCAGGAACGGTTATACGTTTATTACAAAGCTATAGATGCAGTAACATAGGAACTGTTAAGAATGGCGGCAACCCATTGAGCATAATAGGATATAGGGCATTCGTATGCACACCCCCCCCCATGGCATGGGCCAATTAGCTCCCCTCCCGCACGCGGGACCAGCTAGGAAACCGTTAGGTGGCGAAAGCTGGGAAGAAGTAGTCTCTCACAGTACCTAGGAGACGTCCAGACAATACAACCTCCAACGAAACAACCTCCTGCACAGCTGTAGAGATAAGCATTGCGGCACAGGCAGAACAGCAGAGATAGAAATGCAAGAGCAATTACCAAGACCCAGAATGAACTCCCCTACCCCCATGGCAGCATAGCTGACAGTCGGCTGCGACCTTGACGGCATCACACCGAGTTCTACAGAGTGCTGATTAGGGGTGTACATTCGGATGTACCCAAGCTGAAAATAAACTCCCCAAAAAAACCTTATTGGTATTTTTCGGATATATTTTGGCATCTCAAAAGTATCTGGGATTTTTCAGGAAAACCAGGAAGGGGGGGGATCCCCCCAAATTACAGACATATTCGGGAATTACTGGGAACAGCTGAGTGGCTGGAGCAGATTGTTCCCGCTGCTCAGCTTTTTTTTTGGGCTTTCTTCTGCAGTCCCTTTAAACAGGGCGTGTTTAAAGGGATTGCACAAGACAGCCCAAAAAAACAGCTGAGCCGGCAGGGAGCAGTCTTCTCGCCATCTAAGCTTGGGCTCTCTTGTGAAGACCCGTTTAAAGGGACTCCACAAGAGAGCCTGAAGATGAGCTGGCGGGGAGACTGCTCCCTACTGGCTCAGCTGATTTCTGGGCTAACTTCTGCAGTCCCTTTAAATGCACCCTGTTTAAAGGGACTGCAGAAGAAAGCCCAAAAAACAGGTGTTTTTTTGCGGCTTTGGGGGACCCCCATTTTTTTCTTCTTGGGTCTACTGGATCCCCAAAAATTGGAATAAAAAAAAAAAACCACCCCAAAACCCCAAACCCAGATCCAAATACTTTACTGGTATTGGGATCTGGGATTTTTCGGAATAGACTTGAACTGAAAAATACCGAGAGAGAAAAATCATGCACCCCTAGTGGTACCTGTGGGCACTATGACAACCAGCAACAGACTTCCCATTTCCTTTTCTCCACTTCCAATTTCCTTCTTCTATTACCCTTAGCAAATAGCCAAGCCTGGCTTTCCTCCACCTCACGGGAGAAGGAAGTGTTTCGGAAGCACCCGGGGGGTTCCGCGGGTGTCTCTGGGGAACACCAATTTGCACATGTGTGGAACGAGCTCCCTCTATCGCAGGAAGAGGCCATCTCCCCCAGCGTGGTGCAGTGGTCAAAAGCAGTGGACTCTAAATCTGGAGAACTGGGTTTGATTCTCCCACTTCTCCACATGAAGCCTGCTGGGTGACCTTGGGCCAGTCACCGTTCTCTCAGAACTCTCCCAGCCCACCTGCCTGTTTTGTGGGGAGGGGAAGGGAAAGTGACTGTAAGCCACTTTGAGACTTCGTAAGGAAGAGAAAAGTGAGGTATTAAAAAACCAACTCGTCTTGTTCTTCTCAGCCTTTTCTGAATGGCGCCAGCCCCCAGGGGTAGTCACTTTGTCATGGCAACCATTCCCCATTCATGAATATTCCAAAAGTGCCCACAGGCTCCACAAGCTCAGGGAAGCGGGGTTAGAGTGTCAGACTGGAAAGACCTGGGTTCAAATCCCCACACGCTCATGAAGCTCCAGGGGGCCAGTCACACGAACAATCGGCCTAATCTGCCTCACAAGGCTGAGGGGAGGATAAATCGGGAGGTGAGTGGGAAGGAAGAACCTGAGCTCCTTGAAGGAAGGTGAAAAAAAAATCTAATTAACTTCAAAGCACTGGAATTCCATCCCTTAACCCAGGGGTCCCAAAATTTTGGAGCCCGTGGGCATCTTTAGAATTCTGATAGAGCAGGGGTGTCAAACACAAGGCCCAGGGGCCAGGGCTCTTATGCGGCCTGCGAGCAACTGATCCAAGGGAGGGAGTGCGAGGGTGAGTGGGCAGAGCCACTGCACTGTAGCTTCAGCAGGGCAGAACAACCTCGTCTGCAGCAGTCAAGCAGTGTGGGAGCATCCGGCCAGTCCATGGGGCCTTGCAGTGAGGATACACCAACAGGCGTTTACCAAGTGCTGTCCTTTATACAGTTTACAAGAAAGGGGACCCGCGATACTTACGG